TTTTTTTTTTTTTTTTTTTTTGTGGTACGCGGGCCTCTCACTGTTGTGGCCTCTCCTGTTGCGGAGCACAGGCTCCGGACGCGCAAGCTCAGCTGCCATGGCTCACAGGCCCAGCCGCATCCGCGGCATGTGGGATCTTCCCGGACCGGGGCACGAACCCGCATCCCCTGCAGCGGCAGGCAGACTCTCAACCACTGCACCACCAGGGAAGCCCATAGCTCCAGAATTTTTGATTCAGTAGGTTGGACTGGGATCTGAGAATCTGCGTTTCTAATAAGTGACAGGTGGTGCCGATGCCATGGCTCACACTTTGAGAACCGCTGCTCTAGGACAGCTGGTTCTCAGGCATGGCTGTTGTTAGGTCTGGGGAGTTTCACAAATAGATCTTAAGGCCTGGGGCCCACCCTCCGAGATTCTGATATAATTAGCTTGGGATGCAGCCCAGGTGATTCCGATAGGCAGCCGGGGTTAAGGCCATCGCCTTGACTGTGAGCTCCTTGAGGGTTTTCTTTAGTGTCCTCAGCACTGGCCTGTTCAAGCTCCACGTTACTTGTCAGTAAACCTCTACTGAGTGAATCAAAAGGCTGGTCCATCTGTAACCACAGTGGCCCCCGGCATTGGACCTGAAGAGCACTGCTGGGAGGCCTTCCCTGACTCACCCGGGATGGCCCCTTTGTAGCAGTTATCACATTTTATTGTAATTGCTTATCTTGTTACCCACTGGGTCGGTATTTCTCAAGGTGCAGTCTGTGGCTCACCTCCATCAGAATCATCTGGGCAAGTTAAAATGCAGATTCCAGGGCCCTTCCCCAGACCTAGACTCTCTGGAGGATGGGGCCAGGGAATGTACACTTTAAACCCAGGCAATTCTGATGTATATAATCGGAGGGAGAACGCCTGATTTAGACAGTAAACAAGGGGAGCAGGAAGCTATCTGTCCACCGTATGTATATGTATACATACATCGTGCATGTAAGCCAAATCATTATGTTGTACATCTTAAACTTATACAGTGTTGTATGTCAATTATATCTCAATAAAGCTGGGGCGGGGGCGTGGGGTGTGAAGACCAGAGCCCAGGGAACAAACTGCTCTCAGGACTCAAGTGTGAGTCAAAAGCCTGAAATCTCTCAGTTAACCTGGGACAGGACTGAGCCAGATCTTGGAGGTCCAGACCGGCAGGGGATGAGGATCCTGGAGGTGGGTAGGGGGTCTACAGCAGTGGTTCCCAGGAGGAGAAGGACCCGGGGATGGACACTCAGAGGGGATTGGTGGCCCTGGGTGCACAGGCTGGAGACCAGGATCCCTGGCTGGGTGCGGTGTGGCTTTGGGAGTAGAGGTTTCAGGCACCCAGGCTGACCTTGGTGGTTGTCCTGTGCTGCAGAGCTGGAGGACTCCCGCAGTGGACAGCAGAAGGTGCTGGCAGCTCTCAGTCGAGACTCCACCTTGCTGAGGCAGTTCAGGCCAGTCCTGGAGGACACCCTGGAGGAGAAGCTGGAAAGCATGGGGATAAAGCGAGTGAGTTCCAGGGCCACTGGCAGGGCCGGTACCTACCGTTTAGACACAGGCCATTCTTGAACCGACAGAGGGTCAGTTCTTTACCTTGTAAGCTTATTCATCTTATTTGTTCCAGTGGGGCACCTTTGGTATCCAGGGATATAAACCTGCACAGCTGGCACTGTGGTCTCTTCTCTCTTTCCTCCAACGGCTTCCTGAGATGTCACCCTGTGTCCTGACTTCTCCGTGCTCTCCACTCATTGGCTGCTTTCTGCGGCGTCTCTATTTTGTTGTTGTTGTTCACATATTCAACAAATATTTATTGAGCACCTTTGTGCTAAGTAGTGTACTAGATGCTGAGAATACAGTGATGAATTAGACAGAACTGACAATTTTTTTCATCGAGTTTACAAATGGTAGGGGACTCAGGTATTAAACAATGATTGTCCAGAAATTTAATAATTTACAATTGTGAGAACTACTCTGCAAGAGAGGTATTGGATGCTATAGGAATGAATAATAAGGGGATGTGCCTCAGCTTGAAGGTCCAGGTGTGACGGTGGACAATATGTGGATATTACTTTGACAGGTTACTCCTCTCCAACTGGATAGAGTCTCAGTGGAACTACCAAACAAGATGTCCCATCTTCCCCTGGACAAAGGGAGTATATGTGCCCCAAAGGACTGTGTCTCTGTTTCTGACAGAGGGAATTTAATTGGCTCAGTGTGGCCTTTGGAGGGGCCCCTTGGGTGAAGTGTCCATCATCGGTGGCACACGTGGCCGTGCCCACTCAGCAGGTGGCTGTGGGTGGAGCAGGCTCTGAACACTCTGGTACAAATTAGCATTTGAACACCATTGTCCCTACATGCCCGTGTTCAACCAGAGTACGCATATTATCATGAAAGGCATTATTTTTGGCTGCGTTGGGTATTCATTGCTGTATGCGGGCTTTCTCTAGCTGTGGTGCGCGGGCTTCTCATTGTGATGGCTTCTCTTATTGCGGAGCATGGGCTCTAGGCGCACAGGATTCAGTAGTTGTGGCACGTGGGCTCTAGAGCGCAGGCTCAGTAGCTGCCGTGCATGAGCTTATTAGTTGCTCCGCGGCATGTGGGACCTTCCCAGACCAGGGCTCAAACCCGTGTCCCCTGCATTGGCAGGTGGATTCTCAACCACTGCGCCACCAGGGAAGCCCAGTGACATCTATTATTAAAAAACACACCTTGTTATCAAAGAAGCTGAGCATCGCATCGTTGAGAATACTAAAAAAAAAAAAAAAAAAAAAAAAAAAAACAGACACCTAGGTTTAATGTAGCAAGGATGCCCCCTAATCACTGACTGTTTTCAACTACTGATCAATCTAACTCTGGCCTTTACGTTCAGTCTTAATTCAACCATTTCTTTCTAATCTTAAATGATTTCTCATGGGCTCTAGGTGAATGTCAAAAGCCCAAGCAAGTTCCAGCAGGTTTTGGAAGGGTGCCTGGCTTTGTTTTTTTGCAGTTGATGTTTTCAAATCTTGTTAGCCACGGAGGACAATGTGTCCAGCATAACGATAGTGCCTGGGGGTACAAAAAGGAGCAAGCCATGGTCTCCCCACTGTAGGATTCGGTCGGGTAGTGGAGAGGCATGTCCCACCTAAGCCTGTATGCTTGATGTCGATGGACTGGTGCATAGCCCCTTTGCACCATCCTGCTGTGTGTGCTTTGCTGGGGCCCCCAGGTCCTAGCCCACCTTGCTTTCAGCAGCCTGCTCGCCCTGCTCTAATGCTCAGCTCCTCTCCCAGAAGCACCGGCACTGATCCCAGTGACTCTCAGGCCAGCAGCAGCTTTGAGAGGCTTAGGGAAGGAGAAGGGGAGCCCATCCCCAGAGGGAACCTCTGTGGTCTTCCAGGATGCAAAGGGAATCCCTGCTCACACCCTCCGACACCTGGAGTCCCTCCTGCGAGCCCAGCGGGAACAGAAGGCGGGGAGGTTTTCTGAATTTCTGAGTCTGAGGGAGAAGCTCATCAAGGAAGCCAGCAGCAGAGTGAAGGAGGAGAGACAGTGGAACAGGGCCCCAGTGTCCCAGCCAGACGGCGAGGCTCCAGGTGAGCTGGCGAGTGGGCTTGCTCGGGGCTGTGACCTGCGAGGGTGCAGGCTTGTTTGCGTATAAGGGGGTGCGTAATCCCCCCGTCCACATCCAGGGCTTTGCTCTGAAGGGCCAGACGACAGGGTCCTCCCAGGTGGCTGAGTCCAAAAGTCTTCTGCTGGAAAAACAGAGTCTGTGGATGGGGTGGGGTGGGCACCAGAGTCCCTCGGGGAAGCAGAGGAGAGCCAGGACCAGAGCTGTGCTCAGCCCTGAGCTGGCCCTGCTCCGACGCGCTGCCACCTTCAGCAGCGTAGCTCTGCGCTGTTTTACTTGCTTGGACCACAAGTTGAGCTTTGCCGCAACAGAGAGCAGCCCATTCTGTTTGTGGCTCTATAAACCAGGCCTGTCAGCACAGAGGCTGCCGGTGGAGGCAAGGATCCGTCAAACGAATACTCGGCTCTGGGGCAGCGGTTGGGCCAGTTTGGCAGGTGGACAAGTCCTCAGAACTCAGATGTCTCCTGGGCCGGGTCCAGCTGCTGCTTTGTCCCTGGAATTTGTGATATTGAAAGGCCCTGTGGGTCTCGTGGAGGACTGAAGTATGTGGGCGAGGACCCTCCGCGCTCTGTCCTCAGGGCACGCAGGGAGCAAGGGAACTGTGTTCTTTGGCTCAGGAGCCCCCATCTCTAGATTCAGATCCACAGGCCGGGTGATGCTCTAGCTCCTTTCGGTCATGGACGTGTGCAGCCAGAGGAATGTCGCTTCTGCTGTCTCCTTGTGTCCGGGCAGGCCCCAACCTGAGCTCTGTATGCAAAGGAAGTTTCCAGAGTGTGGTCCACCCATCGCTGGGGGCTGTGAGGGTTGATTTTAGTTGGTACGTGAATCAATGATTTCAAGATTTAATCTTTATTTTTCTTCATGTACATTGGAAAAATATTACTAACATAGCAATCCTGAGAGCTCATGGAAATTATTACTTGCATAAGTATGAAGTGGGTACTTTATGTTTAAAAGTGGTGTCATTTTATATAAAAATGTTAAATAGAGATCAGGACAGTTGCTTTGAGAATATGGTGAAAATTGTGTCAATGATCTGGGTAACTCTGTCGTATTTGCTTTAAACTTCTGGCCTTGAAAGCTCTAAGGAAAGGATAGTTTTTAGTCTTGTACAGAAATCTCAGAGTGAAGGGTGTTTGTCCTGGTTGCTAACCTGCCTTTCACATAACCCTCTGCCTCAAATGCTCATTCATTCCTAATTTGTTTGAGTGCAGTATTTACTGAGGTTGACCTGGGCCGGGGCCTGCTCCCTTAGCTGGAAACCAGCCAGGACTAGGTGATGTGACAGGGCCAAGCACAGTCTGGGGCAGCTCGGAGGAGAGGGGAGGGGCCCCGAGGGAGGTTGAATGGAAGCCCCCTCTGAGTCCTGGTTTCCAAAAGAAGAGAAAGTTTTCTTGCTCTTCAAGGTGCTACCCTCCCCTCCAGTGCTTGGTCCCAGAGCCTGCAGTGGGAACCTCCCCTGGCCCCCACCTTTTGTCTCCGCTTCCCTGGCCTTGGGTCCTGCCTTCTCCAGGGCCCATCACTGACCTGTGAGATGAACACTGTTCTCTTGGCATTTCGTAGGCCTCCTTCCAGCTCTGCTCCCACGTGTTCTCTTTCTAGGCCCCATGAGTGCTGTAAGAAAGCTCACCTCCTGTCTCTGCTCAGAGTATGCCTCTTTTGTTTTGGGGCAAAGCTGCGGGCTGCAGCCAAGGCAGTGGCAAGAGCCCTAGATTTGGGATGACTGACGATCTGGGTTTGCATCTGCCGCTGACTTCCATGGAATCGTGGGTCTTGAGCAAGTGTTCCTGAATCCCTGGAAGCCTGTCTGGGGCTAAATGGATGTTGGATGTAAAGTGCTTAGCTTGGTCTGTGCATAGTAACTGTAGCTGTTGTTGTTTTCCCTCAGCAAGTTAACCCTCCTTTCAGTTTACTCTTTCCTAGAAACCCCACTTCTGTGTAAATGCATTCTCCGAGAGCTGTGCATTTTGAACTGTCTTTTCGAACTTCGAACTACAGTTAGAAATGCATTTTATGCTGTGGCTCAGTCCACACGTGTAAGAGTTTGATGACACAGTACTTACTCGGACTCCCTGTGATGCACTTTCTCTCCTCTTCTCTTCCCATAAAAAAACTGCCTATCCTGCATTACTGCCCGCCCCTTGTGATTCGCGAACTGGAGGGGCTGTATCTAATTGCCTGCCTTAAGCACTCCTGCACAAGCTGAGTTCTGGGAGGCGGGTGTGTGGCTCTCGATGGCCCAGGTGGTCCACCAGCGCCCTCTCGTGGCAGCAGAGCCTTCCTGCAGGGCTGCCTGCACTCCAGCAGCAGCCACTTGGGTTGGGTAGAGAAGGAAGTAGGTGGCCTTGGCGAGGCCAGCTTCTACGATTGTGTTGGGGGAGCTGCAGACACGTTGGACCCTCTTCAGACCTGCTGCCTCCCGCGGGTCTTCCGAAACGATGCCATGACCCTGGAACACCAGCTGGTCTCTTGGTCTCTGATGAAACCGTGGGTCCCGGCCCCAGGTCTGGCCAGCAGCAGGACACTTGGGGTGGGGGAAGTTATTAAATCCGCTGTGATTATTACGGTACTCTGCACAGAGTGACTTGCCCATTTCCCGTGAGTGGAGCCTCTTTCTGCATCTCTCGGGCTCGAGGGCCCGGATGGGTATGCTCTGAAACTCACTCTTACCTGTGTTTCTAGTCAAAAGCCAGCACAGCACAGCGGTCACCAAAGAGGCCCAGCCAAAGGCCAGGACCCTGCACGTGGCACAGTCATCCAAGCCGGCAGAGTCCCCTGTGTCACCTCTTCAGAGCCGCAGCAGCCACGGCCCGGGCCTGGCTCAGGGGCCCACCCCTACTCCTGGCTCCAGAGCGCCTGGACCCTCCAGCACCCTGCCTTACCTGGGGCCCGGGCTGAGGTGAGCCGGGCTCTGCGCTCTCCCCGGGTGTGTGGTGTGGCTCCCGCCCTGTCCTGGGCCCCCCACAGGCTTCTGCGGAGGGGAGGGGCAGAGGCAGAAGTGAACAGGAAGGGCCTCAGGTGCGGTCCAGCCCTAGCTCCCATGAAGAGACTGGGGTCCTTTGCTCCCAGCCAGGACACACCTACCCTCCCCTTACTCACCGGTCCCCAAGCCTTGGTTGCCACGCTGGAGGGGGCTGGGTCTTCATCTGCTCACAGAGGAGCTGGTGTGGCTGCCACTCTCCAGATGACTCCTGGCTGGTGTCTGGGCCCAGGGAGGGAGCAGGGCTGGCTCTGGGCAAACCAAACAAGCTTGCAAGTGGTGAAGTGTGGTGTTGAACGTCTTCCTTCCGGCCCACACATCGCCCGTTTCTTCTTTTCCTCAGCAGTACGCCCCCGTTCAGTTCTGAAGAGGCCTCGGAAGCAGATGCCAGCTCTCATGTGTCCCTCCAGCCCCCGAGAGTTCCTTCGAGGATGGGGCCCTGGCCGCAGGATGACTCGGACTGGTCTGACACCGAGACCTCGGAGGGGAGCGCCCAGACGCCTGGCAAGAGCTCAGGTGGGCTGGCTTCCTCAGGAGAGGGAGGTTTTCTTATAAAAATGTTAAGAGGCTTGTAGCTTCTGGCTTCAGTTGCATTTTCTAGCCAAAGATGAAAGGATATGGAACTTCTGTCTTTCCAAAGTCGGTAAGTGGGAGTGCTGGGGTGTAAGCCCCGCTCTATCTGCCAAGTCCAGTGTCCGTGGATTCTGCAGTAGTTCAACTTGTCCACAGCGTGTTCCAAGCCTGCCAATCCATCGACCACCAGAACCGGATCTCTGGGGAAGGACTGACGACCTGCCGGGCGAGGTGATAGGGTGTAAACATCTAGGAAGCGGGAATCTGGAGTCCTCGGACACGCTTCAGCCTCTGTCACTTGCTCCCTGCGTGTGCTTGTGTGAAGGGTTTCGGTTCCTTTGCTGTAAAATGAGGTTTCCGGACAAGATGGGTAATGAGGGGTGAGGTACACATTAGGCCCTTAACAAACAGTTTTTGAATGAATCAGTGAGCCGAGGGCTGTCGTAGCTCCGGACCTCTGTTCAGGCCCCAGATGTTTGAATCCTGGAAGTCCGTGGCTAGCTCCCTGCTTCTTGGCCAGTCCTGAGGTCTGGACACCCACCTTGCTCTCCCACATCACCAGAGTCCATTGATAATGTAGTCACTGCTTAGCCCCCTTCTTGCGTGGAGTTCACAGAAAGAGTGTCTGGCCCGCAGCCCTCCTGTGCGAATTTATATTGATGATATTTCTTCGTTTCTCTGTGAAGGTGTTGGACGGGGAACTGCACGTTAGTCTTGCAGTTCATGTACCAACTGAGCAGGGATTCCTCCCGGCCTCCCGTTGAGAGGGAAGGGCAGCTTCCTAAGCCTGTGTCCCCAGCCGTGTCCTTAAGTGCACAGTACGCTTACAGGATGTTCCAAGCACACGCCGGCCTGGGCCTCTCTCTCTTTGCCCCTCTTTTACTGTTTTTGCCCTTCCTTCTTCCTCTTGACCCTTTTCCACGCTCCCTTTATCCACACCAGAGCCTGGATGTGACCCATAAGGATGATGCATTCAGACTCCGGGCTTTTCCCCCTGGTTGCCTTCCAGGAACACTGGTGCGGTCGATGGCCAGAAATCATGAGAAGCAGCTGGAGGCTTTGGCCAAGAAGCCTGCTGGAGAGGTCAGTCTGTTCTGCAAGCCCAATGCCGGGTCACAGAGGGCTGCTGTGCCAGGAGGGAAGCCCCAGGTAGGCTGTAGGACCTTGGCGGCTGCCTTGCAATTCCCTACAGAGCCAGCTCTGAGTTTGGGGGCCTGAGGGAGGGTCCAGCGAGCGTCAGCCTAGGCCCTGGTGTGACACTGCGGGTGACCTCACTGTCCCCTCTGCCCTTGCACAGGTAGAGGGATGGCCACTTTGCAATGCTTGTTGTTTCAGTATACGAACAACCACTCAGTGGGTTGTGTCTCCGGGCCGCACATGCTCCCACTTGCTGCCTCTGATAGACCCCGGGCCCAGCTCTGTGTCTGGCTTCCTGCAGTAGCTGCTCTCCTCTGGCTCTGCCTCACTCCGCAGCCAACCCCTCCCCCTTCCTTCATGCCCTGAGGACCCCAGCGCAAGGCTGTGTGCAGAGCAGATTGCTTCACAGGGTGGGGTGTTGGAGTAGCATCACGCAGCACGTCAGAGTAGGCCACAACACACAATGGGGATATTTAGACTAAATATTCAAGGCCATTTCTCATCACTAAGAATGTCTCGATGGCCTTACCTCTCTCAGGCTCCAGCTGCCATCAGATTTAGAACTCAGATGCTCAGCCTTCCAGACCATTCCCGTCAGGACGTCCTCTTCGCTGCCCGCCCCCCATCAGGGAACAACTTCCATATTCCTGTTGCTGTCTTAGGCAGAAACATTTCGAGCTCTTATTACTTTACACTCCTTTCTCAATCAAGAAGATGCATCCTGGGATGCCATTGCCCTAAAATTCAGAAAGAGTGGGCCATCACTTTTTGGTTCTCCCTAGCATACTCCCCCAACCCCAAATACCTACCTTGTACTACATAACATGTTTGGTTTATTATGCAGCCCATGTGTGTTTGCGAGTAATGAGTCTAAAGGATTTAAAAAGTATTCATCCCTTTTCCCATGTTGTGAAAGAACACCGACAGCCCTAAGCAGGTTGAGGCGCTGCTCAGAGCCTGCTTGCCGCCCCAGGCCCTGCTGGTTTCTGATTGGTTGGCCTTACATTCCAGGCAAATGGCCTGGGCACTGAGAGCTCTGGGAGGGGTGACCGTGGCTCTGGTTCCAGGACAACCTGGGGCCTTGGCCCATTCTGGGCTCCTCAGTTGGCCCCAGCCCAGACCCTTTCCAGGCGGAAAGATTCCTGGCACTTCGAGTTCCCCTCACGCTCCTATGGTCAGAGTGTTTCCCAGCCCCTAGACAAGAATTCTGTGGCAGGTGGGGTGGGCGTGTTAGCCCCTGGTGCATCAGCTCAGGAATTTGGAGAAGTTGAGGCTCTAGGCTTCCAGATCCATCACTGTGGGCAGTTAAAAAATCTGCACAAAGTTTAAATTACAACAAGAGCAACCTGCTCTGCTACAGGCCTCTCCAAGAGCTTGCCTTGATGTGGCCAGTGGGATTTCAGGGGTGTCTGCATTGCTGTGACCCCAGGTCTCTGAAGCAGGTTCTCAGGGAAATGAGAAGGCAGGAGAAGCATCCCCCTCCTGCTTTCTTCCAAATCCGCGTTTTGTCCCCATGTCCGTCCTGCATATCCATCCTCCCTTGTCAGATGCATTTTCTTCTCCCCCTCCCCTCCCTGCAGCTTTCTGAAGATGAGAGTGACTTGGAGATCTCTTCCTTGGAAGATCTCGCCCAGGACCTGATCCAGAGAGAGAAACCAAAGCCCTTGTCTCGCTCGAAGCTCCCAGAGAAGATTGGTGCCAGCTCCTGGAGCCCTGGTCAGCCCAGGGCCCCTGGCTGGTGATCCTGTTCCAGAGCCTGGCGGCCAGAGGACCAGCCTCCTCGCCCAGCTGGGTGGGGCTGGCTCACGGTCCCCCCCAACAGATGGGGCTGCTGGGCCTCTTGTCGTCACCAGTAACCGAGAGGTCTTCTCCCCTGGAGAGAAGCAGAGCAGAAGATGGATGTGATCTCTCCCGCCCCCTGTGAGGTGCCCTGGCAGTGCCCCTGGGTCCCAGGGCTTGAGAAAGGGTTGTAACAGGACCTCAGAGGAGCCTCCTTCTTCCACCTCCACGTTCACTCCAGACTGAAAGGAAACACTTGGTCTCTAGTCCAGAGCGTTTTGTAAACCTGCAGAAACACTGTAGAGATGGGTCTTTTATGGGGTCCTTTTGGGGACTTATGCCTGAGCCAGTCATTCACTGATTGACCCACAGCCATTTACTGAGGTCCTCCAGCCTCTCACTGCTGAGTTGGGATAGAGGCAGAGATGGGGGTTGAAAAGTACAGGGTCATAATCTGTTGACAGAGATTAGGATGCTATGGGAGCGCAGACAGAGCCTCCCAGTGCAGCCTGGGGTGACCTTGGAGAGCTTTCCAGAGCTGATGTCTGGCAGGGCCTGCTCGTGGGTGGGAGGGAAGGAGGGCCTCATATCCCCAAAGAACCACAAATTAAATTTTTGATATTATTTCTAAAATTAGGTTATGTATATAACTACTGTTTTTTTTTTTTAATTTGAAAAGCATTAATTTATTACATGTAAACCTTTAAATATAGTACAATGTTTCTCACTCTCTGGTATTTCTTCCTGCTTTTGGCGCTTTAGCAGGGGCTGGGTGGGGGCTGGAGCCATCTGTACCCCAACTGTGTCAATTTAGGGCCTTTGGGGTGCAGTTGCCAAGATGGAGATAGGATTGCGGTTGGTTTGCTGGGGAGTCACACCGGCGGAGGAAGCCGGATCGGGCAGGGAAAGCGCTCACGTGCAATGCAGGTCTGACCTCTGTGGGAGAAGGGAGAGCGGGAAGCAGGAGTGGGGAGGGGGGAGCCCCAGACTGCCTTGCGGCTGACATCTCCACCAACCCTGTGGGAGCTCCACAGAGCAGGCACTGCCCACCAGGGAGTCCCCACTGGGCAGGAATGGCCAGGACCTCGTGCCCCCAGCCAGCTTGGCCATTGGCTGGGGTGCCCAGGCAAGTGAGACCTAGTTGAACAGCCACTGTTTTCCCTAAAGGGAAACCCAGCCGCGCACCTCCAGGCCTCATGAGTAGAGGGAATAGCATGATGGACCCACGTTCCCAACACCCAACTTCAACCGTTGTCAACTCAGCTCGTGGCCAGTCTTGCCTCACCTACCTCTCCCCACTGCCTCGGGCCTGTCCTTCTACCCAGCCCTCCATCCAGGCTTCTTTTGACCTCTGGGTGGTCCTGACACCTGGACTAAGCCCTGAAGTTCTAGCAGGAGGAACCAGGGGAAATGAGGAGGAAAGGCACTGCAGAGGGCAAAGGAGATCTGGGGCACAGGAGGCTTGGGGGTGTCATGGTGCCAGGCTGTTCAGTGAGGCCAGAGGCTAGCTTATGAAGGGCCTTACGTGGGACTTGGGTCAGCCCACCCCTTAGCTCCTGGGGAGTAAGTTCCTTTGTGGATCTTGGGGGTGTCATGGTGCCAGGCTGTTCAGTGAGGCCAGAGGCTAGCTTATGAAGGGCCTTACGTGGGACTTGGGTCAGCCCACCCCTTAGCTCCTGGGGAGTAAGTTCCCTTTGTGGATCTCATACCTTTTTTTTTTTTTTCTTTTTTTTTCTTCGGTACGCGGGTCTCTCACCACCGTGGCCCCTCCCGTCGCGGAGCACAGGCTCCGGACGCGCAGGCTCAGCGGCCATGGCTCACGGGCCCAGCCGCTCCGCGGCATGTGGGATCTTCCCGGTCCCGGGGCACGAACCCGTGTCCCCTGCGTCGGCAGGTGGACTCTCAACCACTGCGCCACCAGGGAAGCCCTGGATCTCATACCTTTGAACAGCTGAGAAGGTGTACAACCAGACTCTCAGTGGCAAGTGACGAGGGGAAGGGACAGTGAGTGGGGAGTGGTGGGGGCAGTTCATCCCTCTCTCAGAGTTCTGCCGACAAAGTTATGCTTTCTTATTCACAGGCTTTGGGCAAGGAAGGTGTAAAAAGGTGCTTGTGGGGTCCCGCGCCACATGCTGGTTTCCCGTAGCTCTGAGTGCACTACCGTTGCCAGTCGCCCACATCACAATGCGCTATGGAACCTCTGCTTTTCGGCCTCAGGGTTGTCTCTGGTGGGAGGTTGCACAGGCTACTTGCAGGTACAGCCTGCAAATGCTGGAGAGCTGTCTCTACCAGGGCAGCCCACACCCAAGGTGGAGTGGGAGTTGGTGAGTAATCGCTCCAGCCTTCCCGTGCTTTGGTGGGACAGTTCTGAGGTTAATTCTGCAGTTTCTCAAAGTTCCCAGGGGGAGTGAATCCAGTCCCCTGCAACAGTTACAATTTATTAACACGCCCTTTATTGGCCTTTCTCCCTCTGGTTTCATTTTTCTCACCCTCTCGCTTCCGCTTCTTGGGAGCATCTCTGAAATAAATAAAACCTGTACCCAAGTCCTTGACTCAGGTTCCGCTTTCAGGGGGACCCAAGTGAAATAGATGTGAGTACCCATGTGTTTTGCGTGTGCTTACACATGCTAGTGATAATCACCTGTACAGAATGACTCTGTTCCTGAATGCACATTATTAAGTTCTATGTCCCCAAATGTATTTCTCTATCTACTCTGGAGACTCACATATTAGTTTCGCATTTCTATGCTGTTTACCCCTCCCTACTTTCAAATACATTAAAATTTTGTGGGGGCAAGATTTATAAGAACTTTGAAACATATGTGTATTAGTCAGGGTTCTCCAGAGAAACAGAAGCAATAGGATATAGATATAGGTTCAGAGGTAGATATGTGAAGAGGAAATTTATTACAGGAATTGGTTCATGCAGTTATAGAGGCCGAGAAGTCCCATGATCTGGTGTCTGCAGGCTGGAGAACCAGGAAAGCTTCTCAGTCCTGGAGTGTGAAGGCCTGAGAACCAGGAATTACAAGTCTCAAGGGCAGGAGAAGATGGGCGTTCCAGCTCAAGAAGAGAGAGCTAAATCGCCCTTTATCCTTCCTCTGCCTTTTCATTCTATTTGGGCTCTCAATGGATTGGATGATGCCCAGCCAGGCTGGTGAGGGTGGATTTTCTTTGCTCAGTCTACTGATTCAAATGCTAATCTCTTCCGGAAGCACCCTGAGAGACACACCCAAAAGTAAAGTTTTCCCAGCTATCTGGGCATCCCTTAGCCTAGTCAAGTTGACCCTGACATAAAATTAACCATCACAATATGTAACATAGTAAATTATTTAAAAATTATCCAAGCAGTAAGATTGATGTAGAAAAATTAGAAAACACAGATAATCAAAAAGAAAAATAAATTTGAATAACCCCTAAATCCAGAGTCAACTACTAGGTATGCATGCACTGATTAAAAACATACATATGTCTCCTTCCTAGAGATCAACTATATTTATTCTTCTCTAACTTGATTTTCCTTCTTGAAAATAGATTATAAATGTCCTTACATCAGTACGCATGTATCAACATAATTATATTTAATGGCCACGTAGTATCACAAGGTAAAGATTATAAAAATGTATTTAGCCAAGCGTTCCTACTTTGGGCCTTTGATAAATCATGGAGTGATAAACAAACGTGTATATACATCTTTGTGAGCTTAATAAAGATTTCCTTAGGATAAGGACTTAGAAGTGAGGTTGCTGGATCAACATCGTAATGAAAGCCAGCACTATATGCCAGGCACTGGTCCAAGTTTCTTACGAATATTCACTGACTGAGGACTTGACTGGCGGTCCAGTGGTTAAGACTCTGAGCTTCCACTGTAGGGGGCACGGGTTCCATCCCTGGTCGGGGAACTAAGATCCTGCAGGCCGTGTGGTGCGGACACACACACACACACACACACACACACACACACACGCAAAATTCACTGATTGAACCTGACAGTAACTCTTTGAGGAGGTGCTGCTATTACAGTCATTTTAGGACTAGGACGTGAGACACAGAGCAGTTAAACTTGCTTTGAGTCCTGTCTCCAGTAAACAGTATGACTGGGATCTGACCTGGCCAGCTGGCTCTGGAGCCCTGGCTCCTCACCGTGTATTTTTTTTTCATATATATTTTTTCTTTTCTATTTCTCTTCTCCTCTTTTTGTTTTAAATTAATTAATTAATTTATTTATTTTTGGCTGCATTGGGTCTTCGTTGCTGAGCGCGGGCTTTCTCTAGCTGCGGTGAGCGGGGGCTACTCTTTGTTGCGGTGCGCGGGCTTCTCATCGTGGTGGCTTCTCTTGTGGTGGAGCGTGAGCTCTAGGCACGAGGGCTTCAGTCGTTGTGGCCCATGGGCTCAGTAGTTGTGGCTCATGGGCTCTAGAGCGCAGGCTCAGTAGTTGTGGCACACGGCCTTAGTTGCTCCACGGCATGTGGGATCTTCCCGGACCAGGGCTCGAACCCGTGTCCCCTGCACTGGCAGGTGGATTCTTAACCACTGCGCCACCAAGGAAGTCCCTCACCATGTATTTAGCGGGATTTTCATTACATAAACACTCTCCAGAGAACCTGAGCCACTGAGACTAGTGTTTGGGGTGCTCCTTTTCTCATTCCCTTGCCACCAGGGGGTATCATTCATCTCTAAATGTTTGGACAGTGTGATAGATGAAAAACGAAACCTCACCTTTTAAAAAATTTACATTTTTTAGTTTTCTTCTAAGACAGGATTTCTTTTTTCATTTTCCTATCAATTATTTCTATTTCTTCTTTTATAAATTGCCCGATTATATTCTTAGTGCTTTTATTTGGTCAGTTGATGTAATTAATTTTTCCTTGTTGTTTTTTCCTTTATCTTTAAAAAAAAAATTATTTATTTATTTGTTTGTTTGTTTATTTTGGCTGTGCCGGGTCTTTGTTGCGGCACACGG